TCCAAACTCTGCATTTGAGAAAAGTGCTGGCACATGATATGATCTATCCTGGATTAAAACACAAGAATAAATATTAAGGTCAAAGTTCTTAACAGCTCATTCCCACCATATGTCTTGATATGTCCTTCTTAAGCCTTCTTCTGAAGGCTGTTTCCTTGCCTCCCTGAAACAGCAGGTCTCTCTCCTCCTATGCCCCCTTTCTTACAGCTCTGCCATCTTCTTTTTTTGTGAAAAATAATGCTGCAGGGATTGTTTTGCTGTCGAAAATTAATGTAACCCATTATGTCTGGGAAATTTCTTCAATATATTACTTGCCAAACCTATGGCCCTCACGAAGAAAATAATTTTAATTTATCTCATTTTTCAAAGCTCAGCCAATGATTGTTTAACCTAGAATGCCATCTTGACTAAGTACTGAAATAAGGAGGTCCTTGGCCATTTCAGTGGTGATCAGCTATTAAATCCACTGACTGCTGCAGACTTGAAGTCCAGAAAGCAGATATGTCAAATGGAACGTTTGTGCATTAAAGTGTTTAACAGTATTGGCCTTTTATAACAGCAGAATGGTTCAAAAATATGTGAGTGGCTTTGGTTATTACTCTGCCTTTCTTTTCTTTTCTTTTCTTTTCTTTTTTTTTTAATGAGATTTTATGAAAATGTTAGGGATTGTGAAGAGGGGTTTGTGGAGAAGGTGAAATGTAGGGGCCTCATGATCTTGTAGCATTCAAAATGAAATCACTGAGAATGCCATCAATTGTCATTCATCCATTAATTTAAATCCCAAAAGTGGGAGTCTAGGCAGCTTTTTTTAAAAAAATGTAAATGCACTCAGCTCTCCATTTCACTGGGGATCTGTTCTTGACCCCCACCCCCCACAAAAACGGAAACTTACCGATATTCAAGCCTTGTTGGCTTGAATGGTGGCATGTACCTGTGAGCATGTGTAGGCACATGTCAAGGGCACACACCCCATTATGTCCCCCTCCATTTGCCACCTGCAAATAGGCATGGAGCACAGATTTGAAGTCCATGAAAATGGATGGGTGACAACAGCTACTTTTACATTCTGAATAAAAACTATGTGACAGAGCTTGGGTTTCTAACTAGGATGAATCTTAATAGGTGCTGGTCTACAGTATGGAAGAAAAAAAAAAAAAAAACCTCCCAGAGAATGCAAATGAAGAGGAGGCTTGGGGAAATCTTTGATTATACAAATGCATTAGTCAGATCCTGACTCAGATTATTGTGATCAGTTCTGGTCATCACATTACAACATAAAATGTTGAAACACTTGACAAGGTAAAGAGAGAGGAGATGAGTTTGATCTTAAGCTGTGATTATATTGTATTAATGACTTTCCATCATATCTCTGACTACTCTATCTTATTACAGAAAACACAATTTGCCAGTGTAGAATAAGAAGGCAGTCAAAAGGAACAAAATCATTCTAAAAGGATTTTTAGTGAGTCATCATTGGGGGGCCCCTTCCAAAAAACAGTGCTCATAATAAGTTGACCTTTATTACCTTTATGAAAGGTGGCATGGTTTGCATGTTTAAGTGTAATTTCTCAGTTGATAAACAAAAACAAAAAACAGCTTGGTATTATGGTGGACAGAGGCATTCCTTTCTTGGCCAAAACTTCCATTGCATTAGCACAAAAGACCAAACAGATTGTAATGATAAATAAAACTGATTTTTTTTGAGCTGGTGACCATAATTCTCTTGCAGATGAGTGTAATATGGATCAATGCATGTGGAGTTATGCATTTATTGTCCTATGCAATCCTTTCATTGAATGACAAGGTTCCATGACTCAATGCACACCTCAACTTGCAATCAAATGCACAACTGAATGTACAAGTGCATCCATACCCATGCAAGTGTGCATGCACAACAGCAATGCATGTACAACTTTCTTGAATTGGATACAAACATTCAGCAACATCAGGGGGCATCATTAGGGTGTGTAGGAAAAGTGGATGGTACCAGGCTACACCCTAAACAATGGGTTACACCACCACTTCCCAAATATTTGCCTTTTGGTAGAAATGGGCTATGGCATTTTCCTGTATCCCTTTAAAATCCAGGCGGTCAGTGGAAGAGAAGGTGTGAGTGGAGCGTGGCTCAACAGGAAGAGAAAAGAGAGGGCTCAGATTTCTTTTTAAATTTTTATTCTTTAATTTTTTTTAAAAAAAAATTGCATCTTACCAAATTTTCACTTTAATCACATGAAACTATGTAAATGTAAGTGCATTAGGCTGTGTGTATGATATTGTAATTTAAAAGGAACATTTTAATTTTGCTAGTTGTTTATGCCACATTTATTGCCATTACATTCAATGATATGCAGGAATTATGACTGATGAGTAACTTTAGTACAAAAATATTACTAAGAATTTTGTATAGTGTGATATGGAAACAGGTTGGTGACACCATGAGGTACTGTACTAGATCACACCAATCATTGTGATGCCACTGTGCAGCAGAGAAAAATGTCCATTTGCTTCCATAGGAAACTTAATAATGTGTAATACTCTAACAGGGTTCTGGATATTGTCTTCCTGATTAGAGATAGGTAGATAGATAGATGATAGATAGATGTTGTTGTGTGCCTTCATGTCATTCCTGATTTATGGCAACTCGAACACAAAACAATTATGGGGTATTATTGGCAGGATTTGCTCAAAGGATGTTTGCCATTGCCTTCCTCTGGGGCTGAGAGCATGTGACTTGCCCAAGGTTGCCCAGTGGGTCTGACCATAGGGGGTGATGTTCATCTCCATTACTAACCAAAGAACCAGCAGTGACTACTCTGTGATTGCACAGGAGGTTGTTTACCTTCCCACCGAAGTGGTACCTATTTATCTACTCACATTTGCATGCTTTCAAACTGCTAGGTTGGCAGAAGATGGGACTAGTGACAGGAGTTCACCCCATCATGCAGCACCCAGGCCTCGAACTGCCAACCTGCCAATCTTGCAAGCAACAGAGTCAGCATCTTAACCACTTGTGCCACTGCATCCCTTAGATAGATAGAAAGTCATCAGGGGAAAAAAAGAAGAAAAAAGTTATGAGGACTCAAAAAATGGAATGTACCTACTAATTCTTAGTTCAGAAAGTATGTGGCATCACAGTTAATTACACGAGTTATGATCCAGAAGGCCATGAGTTCAAATCTTTACTTAGGCATTAACTTACTAACTGGTCATAGGGAGTCCACTGCCTCCCACCATTTCTAACTGGAACATTCCTACTTTACAGGTGAATTCCAAGATGCGTAAATGTAGCCAAACAATATGAATTGCTGGTAATCCTATATAGTGGCAGCAAACTCATAATCCAAGAAAAACATTGGATTACTGTAAGACACTCACTCTACATGGTGATGCTTTTGGAAACTGTTTGGAAACTGCAGTGGGTCCCATGCTGCATCTGCACTGCAGAAATAATCCAGTTTGGCAGCACTTTAACTGCCATAGCTCAATGCTATGGAATTCTAGGAATTGTTGTTTGTTCTGCAGCATCACACTGTTGATTCATGTTCCAGTTCCAGTGAACTAATACACAATTTCTGACTTTTCCTAAAATACACTGAAAGCTTCTAAAACTCAAAGTCTATCTTTGGACTAGAAACATTTTGAGGTTTTAGGCTGTAATGTTCAAAATGTAACTATATTTTGGTGCTACTTCAAGTCTGGATGTTACCTTAAGTCTGAAGCTGGACGATTTCTTTAAAGTTCAACCAAAAAAACAGAGATGATTTGGTACTCACCTTGTCACAAACACTACCAAGCCTCCACTGGCTGGGAGGCCAAACTTTACCAAAGTTTCTGAGATTTTGCCTGGCAAAGGATTTGCTACTGAGATTTACTTGAGGGTGCTATTTTAAGAGGTATCTTTTGGGCAAAATTGTTGGTACACCACCATCCATCTAACACACACTCCAATGGTACTTTTCTCCATAAACTGTGACAAACTTTGCTTGATACTTAATGCATAAGGCTAAATGAAATCACCAAGGGTGAACCCTAGGTCTCAAGTTTTGGCCTCAAGGCTGGAATGATTTGGAACTGACAATTCAATGGCCTACTGATGGAAAGAATGGGCCATGCTACAATATTATTATTATTATCAGTAGTAGTAGTATTTTGCATGCCATTTTGAAATCATTTGAGATCATTTTAGATCATCTGAAGTTCTTCAAGTTGTTATTATTATTTTTTAAATCCTTTCATATTTCAAATGTTTTATTGATGTTGTGCTGAGGTTAGTTATTGGTCTTTTACCACTTTTGTGCTTTGCTTTTAAGTTGTTGTCGTTTTAAAGTGGAAGGAATTCAATATAGGAGTTACATCTCTGTAAGTGGATTTACACATGCACAAATGAGAACATTTCCATAATGTCTGTATCCAGTAGAGGACTGCCGTTATGCTGGACAGTAGAGAACTGCTATTATGCTGGACAGTTCCATAATGTCTGTATCCAGTAGAGGACTGCTGTTACATAACTATTTGTTTCATTATCCATTTTCTCAATTCAGTAACAGGGTTTCCATATATTTAAAGTATTATTAAAGTTACATTACATGAAGGGTGATACATGATTCCAGTCAATATTCTTGATTCCAATATACATGATTCCAGTCAATATACATGATTCCAGTCAATCATGTATCACCCTTCATGTATCATGAAGGGTGATACATGATTCCAGTTAACTGTATCCAGGGGATACAGTTAACTGGATAGCATACAAATGGTGTTCATAGTAGCACAAATAAGAATGTATAAACCATAAACTACTGTTGTTGTTGTTGTTGTTGTTGTTGTTGTTGTTGTTGTTGTTGTTGTGTGCCTTCAAGTCATTTCCAAATTATGGCAACCTTAAGGTGAACCTGTCCTGGGGTTTTCTTGGCATAATTTATTCAGATGTGGTTTCCCATTGCCTTCTCCTAAGGCTGAGAGCATGTGACTTGCCCAAGGTCACCCAGTGGGTTTCATAGCCAAACAGGGATTTGAACCCTGTTTTCCAGAGTTTCATAGTTTCACACTCAAACCACTACACCACTCTGGCTCTTCCCAACATTAAAATGGCAATCTGACAACATGTTTAGTTCACAGCCTGCTGCCTTGTTTCTATTTGAAGTTAACCCCCCCCCCCCCAGCCTGGAGGAAAGTGCAAGTCAATTCAAACTACAGCTCCCACCAGGTCTTGTACTTCCTATACTCATGACAATTCTTTTCTGTGTGAGATCTACCATTCCCATCATGATCTGATGCTTCAGATTTTATTCTGAAAGATTGAAGCAAACCTGTTTTAAACAGGATGGAAAGGGATCTTATAGCAATTTTGAGAGTGAGATAAAGAAGTTGTAGCATAAGCTTTAGTAGATTTGGGGCTGATGCAGACAACCCATGCAGACCCTGGGAGCAGCAGATCTGGGCTGTGGCAACTACACACCACAGCCCCGATCCCCCTTTGAGCTGCTGCAGCAGCTCATTTGCACTCCTTTTGCACAGTGTGTATGCACGCTGCACCAAGAGGGCATCCTGATGTCGTGTGCCATGCGGTCAGGTAAACAGTGTCAGGGTGGAGTCAGGGCATCCAACATGTGGTCACCCTGCCCCAACTCCACCCCCAGGCTGGCCTAAAGTGCCGGTCTGCATCCCCCCTCTGTCTACAAAAGTTTATTCTACAATTTCTTTCTCTTGGTTAATCTCAAAGGTGCTACAAGATCTCTTTGCATAGTGATATTCTAGATGACCCCCATCTTTTTAAAACAGCAAAGAACAAACACGCTAAAGAGAAAGGAGTGTGTGACTTACATCCTAGGGAACAGATTATAAATTATGTCCAATGGAATTGTGAAAGCTCTTTTTGACATGGCTTTTACCTGTAGTACATAAAAAAGCAACAACAAACCAATATTTCAATTTTGTATACTCTATGCAGATGGCATTGACACATCACAACAAATGAAGAGTGCAAAGAATGGATTAGAATTTGGTCTCAAAGCATTAATCAGTGTGATTAATAGGTGAATTCATTAATCTCAGATTAAAATGCAGATCCTAAATTGGATTTTAATCACAGTGGGCTCCTGAAAGGGGATTTCAATGGCAGTGCCACTGTTGTAAACAACCTATTAGTATGTGTTTCTCCATTTGCAACTTTTAAGGTGATTTTCAAATGGCAAATGCTTTGACTGTAATGACTAGCTGAGGTAAAGTGTTACTTTTCTAAAAAAGGGAGAACATATACAGGAAAAGAATGTAACATTGCCCTATTAACATGACAGTAATAGGTAATGTAATGGGTTAGTTCTGTCAATGTTTATCTGATTTATCTCTTTGAATCAATTTTCTCATGAAAAGCAAGAGTTATAAAGTGAACACCTCAGACCTACATGACTTAGGGATCGAAATAAATTTCATTGGACTTCACCATCTCAATGAAAGTAGTGTTTTCACTAGGGATAAAATTCATCACAAATTTTCTACTCAAAGTAGGCAACAAGCCATTCTACCATTTTTTCCCACTGCAAGAAAAACTTGCAAAACTATGCAGTTTTCAATGTCTATTTACAACTAATCTGCACATGGTTGTTTTACATAGAAAAAACTTTTTATGTGTAGAAAATAAAGTGCTGTTTCCTGAATTTTGCACAAATTACATCTTGGACTGTGAAGATTCTTATCAGATCAGAATTCATTTCATGAGGGTTTGTTAATATTCAAGAAAATATGGTAGGTTTAACCTTTTCTTTTTTTAAAGTATTCTTTCCATCCTGAGTTTTGACATAATTTATTTTTGCATTCCACCTCCAGCATTTCCACATCTGTACAAGCATTTATGAGAACTAAAGTGTGAATTAAATGATGCTCACACTAAAATGTGAGTTGCTAAAATACACATAATGGAGGAGGTAACACAAACATGTGTGCTTACTCAAGGAAGGGGGGTTGTGCATGTTTGGTAAATTTGGTCTGATATTACAGATGAGATGACATATTTTAAAGCTTGATTAGTGCACTTTGATGCTCCATCCTTGGACTAGCAGACAAAAATGATTAGTATTCTGTTAGTGACACACACAGGCATAAATTGTGTTATGCATGCAGAGTGATTTTCTTTTACTATGTGGAATGGATGTATCCAGTTGAGGGTGACATAATCAGAGTTGCACATTTGGGACTATTGTGTTTGAGGTTGTGCAGCAGAACGTTAAGAAACCAAAAAATAATGATCACAGATTTTCTATATAACTTTAAAATAGATGATGAAGACATTGAAATAGTTCAAGATATTCCATACCTTAGAACTGGGACTATGCCCAAGAAATCAGAAGGCTAGGACTTGGAAGGCAGCTATGAAGGAACTAGACAAGATCCTGAAGTGTAAAGATGTATCACTGAAAACTAAAGTTGGGATTGTTCATACCATGGTATTCCCCATTCCTTGGTATGGTTGTGAAAGTTGAACAGTGAAGAAAACAGATAGAAAGAGAATAGACTCATTTGAAGCATGGTGTTGGAGAAGAGTTCTGTGGATATTTTGGCAGGCCAAATAAATAAATAAATAAATAAATAAATAAATAAATAAATGGCTCCTAGAGCAAATAAGTTTAACTCACCCTAAAAACCAAGAGACTGTCATACCTTCAAAATATCATGAGAAGTCATGAGTCAATGGAAAAGAGAATAATACTTAGTAAGGTGGAAAGTGATAGAAAAAGAGGAAGATAACGTGACAAGTGGATTTATTCAATTAAAGAAGCTATAAACCTGAGTTTTCAAAACCCAAACAGGGTAGTTGATGACCAGGGCTCTTGGACGTCTCTCAGTCATAGGCAACAATGAAATGGATTAAAGTACACAGTGTAGCATATGAATGCACAATGTCTCTATGCATATTTGGCAGCCATGTGTATTGACCACTGATCAACTTGTGTTATATGTTGGGATTCAGTATAGAGTTCGATTAATATTGGTGTATCAGTTGAAATTTCTGCTACATTGAAACTATGCAGGCTCACTTGTGACAGCCAAAGGCTGTCAAAATATCAGCAAGGGCACCACTGTCTCTGTTAATCAGTAGCTAGCAAGCTGATTCTTGATTTTTGTTGTTGTTGTTGTTAGCTGGCTCCCCACAACTCTTTCTGCACATGCACTGATTTGTTTGGAAGCTTTGCTGATGTGGCTTCTTTGAAGTAATAGGGTCCAGTCTAGGGACAGTTCCCATGCATCGCAGAGCATGAGTAAAACCAAAAGTAGATTCACTAGCTTCAATGCAGCAGATCTTCTGCTCATGCTTAAATGGTGGGGGGAGGGAGATCTAAAATGCCTATATAGCCCAACACATCTTAGATCCAGGCTATCTAATAACCATATCTTCCTTATAAGTCTACCTTGGTCCAGGAATCCTGAAGTGATAACCTTCTCTCAGCCCCACCATTTTTACAGCCATGTCTGGTGGGGATACCAAATAGGGCCTTCTCACTGATTGCCCCAGGCTCTGAAACTTTTTTTTACTAAGGAGACTAGAAAGCCACCTTCCTTGCTCTCCTCCCATCAGTAGGCAATGACTATTTTAAAAATGTTGATTAGCTTTTGAAGACTGATTTTTTGTTAAGAAAGGGGGAGTATTGGGGCTGTACAGACAGCCTCTAATGGATGGCATCCCACCGCCCCTTTCCTTATCAGCTCGGAGCCACGGCAACCTCATGCCATGGCCCTGATATGGAAGTTTGCCACTCTAAAAAGAGCTGGCAAATACTGCTCTTTTTTAAAGCATCAAAAAGCCACCCTTGCCGCCATGGTGGCAACTTTTTAGCGCTCTTTTGTCACAACATGTATGAATGCTGTACCAAGGGAGCGGCCTGATGCCACCCACAGTGCAATGGGTCTCACAGTGTGACAGCGGCATTGAGGTGGAGTTGGGGCAGCTGGCGTGTGGTCGCTACAGCCTGACTCCACCTCCAGCCTGGCCCTTTTGGCCAATCTGTATAGCCTCTATGAGGATTAACAGACAGCCCTTAGGGGGTGGCTCCTTGCCACCTCTGAGAGTGCCAGATTGTGGCATGTTGTGGCCACAATCTTGTACTATGCTGCTCTAAAAAGAGCTGGCAAATGCCCTTGTTGTGGCAGTGGCAGCTTCTCAGCACTCCTTTGGTGCAGCATGTATGAATTCTTCACCAAGGGAACACCCTGACACCATCCACCATCTGTTTGGGTGGGTGGTGTGAGGATGATGTGGGGGCAGAGTCGGTGTGGTCGGCGTATGGTCGCCATGCTCTGACTCTGACTCTGTTGATTGCAAGATTGGCAGGTTGGCAGTTCGAGGCCCAGGTGTTGTGTGATGGGGTGAACTCCCATCACTAGTCCCAGCTTCTGCTAACCTAGCAGTTCAAAAGTATGCACATGCAAGTAGATAGATAGGTAAACAGTGGTGGGAAGGTAAACAGCATTCTGTGCAATCATACCAACCACATAATCACAGAGTAGTCTCTGACAACACTGGCTCTTCCACTTAGTAACGGAGATTAGTACCTCCCCCTATGGTTGGACATGATTTGTCAATTTTGTCAATGGGGAATACCTTTACCTTTACCTTTACCTTTAATAGCATAATAAATGTGACTATGGGTCAGAGCATACAGATTTGAAATAGCAGCCTGAGTCAGCTCTGGCCAGAAGCAAGTCTAAACCTTGTCAATTGCATGGCCCATTACTAACATGGGTCATGCTTGCTGGGGCTGACCAGTACTTCCAGGAGCCAAATTATCCTGGCTCCTTTTTGGCCTTGGTGCAGCTTTGGACCACTTAGGAATCATATGTTGTCTAATCAGGCATGCTTCCAAAGTGACCAGAAGCCATTTTATTTGTCCCATTTGTTCCAGGCCTAAGTAGAAGTCATTAATATGGAACAGTTAGATTTATTCATCTGTAACTGTTCCATATCCATGATTGCCACAAATCATAACTACCACCTCCAGCCTACATCAGCTGCATGGAGAGAAGGAGGTCCATTCTGCTGTTTATTGGAGCATGGGTGAATTATGTTCCAGTTAGTTTG